CAGCACTTAGCTCTTACTGTTGGTATTTATATTGCTCAAGACAAATATAAAAGTATTAGTGAGCTTTATTTTATTAACAGTGTTACTTTAAATAAAACAAACAATCCAAAGGACTTCAAGCCACACAGGCTCATTATTATAGTGTGTATAGAGAGTGCTTAACACATGGAAGCTTGGAATGACCAGCTGCCTCTCAGAGAAGAAATGACAGCACAATAAATCAGACAGATATGGTCAAGCTTTTCCTATCAGTCCATGGTTTGAATGTATACAGGGGAATAATTTCACCACCTAACCTTAGAAGGCTAGCTTCCTAAAGTGGGAAACTAGTCATGCTGTGTGATGCGTGGAGTGACATTTACTCTTGCAGAGGTGGTTCAGAACAAACACCTAATTGAGGAACATTTAACTCCCTGGATTCTCACCAGGGTGACTAAGTGGAGCTACTCTTACCTTACCAGTCAAGTCTAAAAAATGCAGTGATCAGCTTCCCCTGAGCTCTGCGATGCTGAAAAGGATTTTAGAGAAGTCGCTTGTGAAGGATTGAGGTAACTGAGTCTGGAGGATATTTTTCTAATGGAAAACTTGATTTATTATTTGCATGGTCATAACAATACAGTGCTACAGTGTGGGTTATGGTACTATACCAACATTGCCCAAATGCATTTAAATAATAATGCTGCTTGCTTCTCTTTCAGGTAGAAAAAGACATTACAAAGCCTCCTCCTTCATCACTCATCCCATGCTGGTACCACATACATGGAAGTCAAACATGGATGCAAAAGCACTCATCATTTTGACAAATTTTTGTCCTTTGTCTATGCAAAACCAGTGGCTTCAGGCATTTTATAAATGCTTGGTAGCTTCTGGGCAGGTATTCGAAATAAACCTTCTAATTTCCATCAGCAGAATTTAATCTGACTAGGTGGGATTTTCCGTTTATGTTGGCAAACAGAAGCATTACATATTCGGATTGTTTATTCCGGTAACTTTAGCTAGCCTGCAGAACTGCAACATTACTCTTTTGATTAGCTCCATGCAAAAAGATCTTGCGAGGTGAAAAGATCTCCTACTCTTTCTATATTTGGCAGGACCAAATCCATAAAAATGTCCATTTTGCCACGCCTCTGATACCCCACTGCAGCTGCTTCCTCTCCTCATCCCACAGCGAGATATTAAAAAGTTTGCATATCTTCTCCAAGTTTATCTGGAAATACAAAAAAGCCAAGAATGCTCTTGTCAAGGTTACAAATATCTAGGGACCTAAGATAGTTTTTAGTCTAACTGGCTCTTCAAAATATAGTAGAGGCCTGCCAGCTGAAAATTATTAACTGCTGTCTGAGCAGAGATTGTGAGTGCACTCTATAGGAGATGAAGCAGGAATTATATATACCTATACCGCTGGATTTCTTACAATACCATAATAGAGCCATCCTACCACCAGATGTGCTTATAATGCTCTCAAAGTGCACTCAATATCTAGGCAATTGAAGCACTTATTTCATTTCATCCTCCTGCCTTGTAATTCAGGTTTCCTTTTTAGGGAGTGATAGGATTAATTCCTTCTTCTCCATATGTTGTGAGGGTTTTTTTTTCATTATTATTTGGGTGAAATGGCCTTCCGTGAGTCATTTATGTTTGAACTGATCTTGTAAGTTGTTTCAAAATTCAAATGGAGCCTTACTTTGATGACTGTAGAAAACTTTAATACCCTTACATAGCTTTTTAAATATGGTCAGACATATGGTTTTTTCTACAGCTTGTTTAAATGCCAGAAAGGTAATTATGAAGTGTTAGTTGGTCAATGCCTCTTTTAAGCTGTGGCGTATGGTTGAAATTATCACTATAGTCAAGAGGAAGATAGAGCTTTCTTAAGATAATGGGCTCTGTGATTTATCTCCCATCTTGGGAAATAACTGAAAGTTGTAAATTCAGGATGACCCAACAATACTTTCCCCAGATTATTTTTTGTTCTTCTGCCCTCTGAATAATATGATGCTTGTCATTTTTAAAAAACTAGTAAAAAAAAATTATGCTAAACAATTAATTCCATCAGGTGTTAGATCTGCTCTCAAACCGATTTTCTGAGCAAATACATTAGTTCACCCACTGCTGGTTTTGATCTGAAGAAAGTTTCAGTTCTCTGTGTGCAAATTCAGTGTTTCATGGAGAGATCAAGAGAGCTTCCAACACAAATAGGTCTACAGCCTTTGGTGAGATTGAAGTTATCACTTGTGTGTTCACTTATTTCAGACAAAGGTACCAACTATCAGGTAACATTTTCTACAGTGCAGCCATTGGGGGAAAAATAATAAAAGAAAACTGTTCCAGAAATAGCATTTTTCTAAAAATGCTATCTCACTAGAAAGTGGTGGGGTTTTTTTGTTGTTGTTTTTTTTTTAATTCCATCAATATATTTTAATTCAGTCATAATAATTTTAGAGAAGGGATTGTCTTGTTGCATCTGGTTAAGATAGCTATCAAATATGATCTTCTCTGTTGGGATAGCTAGTAAAAGAAAGTCATAACAGTAGTAAGTAAACAAGTGCTGTTGTCCCACTCAAGAATAATCATTCATTCTGGTAATGATGGAAATACAGGTCCTGAATATTTCAGTCTCTTAACTGGAAAAAAAAGAAATATTAGTGTCACACCATGTTCACCCTGTTTTGGGTTTTTTTTAAGTAACTGAAGGAATACTGATGTAAAACAAGTATGCAAGAAGAGTCAAGCCTTTTGGTTTACTGCATTCAGCTTCTGAAGACTGCCATATACCATGGAAACTCATACCCAGTTCCATGCCTATTTACACAATTTTTCCATCAAAACATTATATTTGATTTTAAAAAGAAACATAACTGACAACATTGGAAGTGACATCATTTCTTGGCTTGGTATGATTCAGAAACTGAAAAATATTTCCAGAATTTCCTCTCAATCTTCTTTTTGTTTTTAATTAACAGTACAGTTTTTATGATATCAAATTATTTTTCTCTCAGACAATATTCTTGTGGTAAGATACGGAACTGGACTCTATCAAGCTAAAAATCTCAATGCTTTCCTTTTCTAAGCAAGACAGGCTTTAAGGAGGAAGGCAGGAAGGAAGGCAGGGAAGCAGGAAGGAAGGAAGGAAGGGAGTTATCTCTAGCAGCTCATTTGTAAACTCTGATAATCTGGGGAAGCAGAGAAGAATTAGTTTACATAATTAGATAGACTAACTACAATCTATAGAAATTATCACAATTATCAGCAGAATGCTTAGAACTGACATTATGTGACAGCTAGAAAACAGCAAGTGCTCCCATGACCTAAATGAATTCTCTACACTTGTGTAGCACAGGCTGCCTTTTCTCCTCCAGAGACAATATCCATTTGTGCTTTTTCAGTATCTTAAAATGCTTTTAGTTTAACTATTTCATTTAGGATAGTGAACAGTCGCTTCATTTAGTTGTACAAGTCAACCTGATCTTTGAAGAAAAGGATAAAGAATTTGTCAGGGAGAATAGTTAAATTCCAGGACAAATTCACCATTATTAAATATGGGAATATGTTTTTTGAATTCAGCTGACTGATTCCCATCAAACTGCCCAGCAGATTTTTTTTAAATTTATTTATTGTTGCTCAGTTTCCACACCAAGACTACCTTTGTTACTGAGACAAGAATTTATTCCTCTTCTTCTTTGCAGTCAAAATCGTGTGGAAGTTAATCTAATTGTCTCAGCTTACTTCAGTCAGTTGGAATGAAAAAGGCAAAATTTTATCAACTGTTTTATACAAAATGGTGTGCTTCACAATTATAATAAACATATTTTAAGTAACTGAAAATGACCCCAGTGGAACCTGGCAACATGTTCAAGTCAAACAAGAAATTACTGGCTACTTCTTGACAAACTGGAAGGGACAGCCATTGACTAGAAGCCTTCAAAGAAAAAAAATGTTTCATTTGCTTGTATGAGCAAATGTGTGTTCATATGTATAGAAAAGGCTGGATTTTCACTGAGATGTCTGCTTATAGCAGGTGTTAATGAAGCTCAAGAAAATTGCAAAACTTCTCACATCTAGAGTACAACAAATCATGGTGCTATTTTGATACCTTCCCTTGAATATATCATCTTACTGACTGTATCTAAAGCAATCCCTCAGTCTAATATTGATTACTGAAAAAAGGATGGCTGTCTACCAGTGGGCAAAAAGCTTTCCATTTTAATGATAAAACCATGGGTAATATTTAATCAGATTTGGTGTTCTTGAGTCCAGTATTATAAATGTCTTTACTAAAACACATTTTTTAAATGTGTATGTTGATGAAATTATTACTTGAAAGTTGACTTGAGTACCTATTTTGTATGCTAGGATGAGATCCTGAAACACTTCAAGACATGCTTAACATGAATATTTCCACTAGAAATCAATGTGACAACATACATGATGAAACTTGAGCACATGCAGAAGTGTTTCCTGGACCAGGGTTTGGTGAGCAGTAAGCCAATAACAGTGATAAGAAATTCCATCATCTCCTATTGTGCAGGGTGAGATAAAATGGCTAAAATGCCTGTATTCCTGTTTTCTTGGTGTTCCCATTCTTGCTGCCATCTGGAAACAGGATGTTCAGAAACTCTGGACAAATGGCAACTGCATATATTTAATAGACTAAAACAAGATGCTCGTATTCATTGCATTCAAGCAAATCAACTGCTTCTGCATGCAGTATTTGGGACCTACCACTCCTTCAGCCACATCAGTGTGGACAGATTAGAAAAGATGTGCACCAGTTTAACAGATAGATATATTACTCATGTTTTTATCTTCCATCTTGGCCTACTAGATTAAACTAATCTGTAGCTGGTACATATAAAAATATAAATTACTTGCATAGCAGAGTGATAATAAATGTATAATTTTACTACTAATGTAATAATAAATTTATAATTTTACTACTAATGTGATAATAAATTTATAATTTTTACTAGTAATAAAAGTCCATTATTTTGCATCAGTACCTGTCTTTCAGTGAGGTCAAGGTTTACTGCTATCTCATATCGCCTCAGCCTGGTCAAATAGTTATGATGAGCAAATTCCGCTTCTAGCTCTCTGATTTGCTCCTTGGTGAAAGCTGTCCTTTCCTTCCTGGGTTTACTGTTGACCTCTGATTTGTAGTTTCCTTCTTGAGAATCTGAAAAAAAAAAAAGATGAAAAAAATGGAAGTAATGACAAGTGTATGGCTAAATAGGAAACAAGCCCAAAGATAACAACATGCTTAAGTTACATTCTTCCAACTTCCTTCTTTTGTAAACACACCCTTGCTTTCATACTTATGGATTCTTCACTGTGTATCAGGAAAGCAGCAATAATTCTGACAGACATGAGCTGCTGCTTCCATTCACGCATGTCAAACTTTAGCTTAAAATCTTGCAGTGGTTTATTTCTTAACAGTTCTCTGTAGCATTTCTGCAAAGCTTCAACTCCTTCCCACTTCTGGCAACTCTCAGCACACCCAGCCAGTACAGGATGTGTATCATTTGCTTAGTGTCTTGATGAGTAATACTTCAAGAATCTCTCTCTCCTATCATTTTACTAATACCTTAAGCCAAAGCTCTATTTTAAAGAATACACGTTAAGCTTTAGTACAGTTACAGTTTCAGGGAAAAGTTACAAAGAATAGAAAATTCAACACACATCAGAAAGAAATCAGTGAGCATGTCCCATGTGATAATGTGATCTATTCCTAGTCATGACTCAGTGCAGGTAGGGAGGTTATGACACAGGTGGTATCAGTATTGGCAATTTGATACCACTATAGCTCATTACTGAAAAAATACTTTGGCTACAATCAGAGGAGCTTTGCTGAAAGTGTCATTACCACCCTCCTGATTCCCTTTACTTTCAGAAACAGATATATTTGGTCCTTAGCCAAACTACTGAACTCAGTGAGAGTCATGCCTTTCCTGTCAGTGAAGTCTGTTTAAATAAATGAAAAAGGATCAAACTGTAAAAAAAAAAAAAAAAAAAAAAAAAAAAAAAAAATTTCAGCACTGCTAGCAAT